AAAGGTCAAATCCAAGGGCATATTTGAAATCTACACATATGACTTTTGGAAAGCCGTCTGTAGAAATTTTTCCCATAACCCCTTCCGTAGGGTAGATAATTAGCATTTAATTTTGCCATTTTTGGACAAGGGTGCATTGCAATGAGTGCCACACCCAGACCCCAATACCGACAAAGCCCAAATTTTACGTGGAACGAGTTGAGATTATAGGTGACCTAAATCCAAGAGATGGGTATGGGGGCCCTTACGGTCTAGGAGGAGAAGCGGTAACGGTAGCCGTCCGGCGGAGCCGGCAGAACGATCTGGACGGGACCGAAACCATGTGTACCGCCAGCGCTAACGCTGGTGGTACAATAATCCTGGATCCACCTCTTAGTTGAACTAACATACGGTTTCATTCACCATACATGTGGATGCATGGCTCCCAAAAACAACTAATTACAACACGATAGATATCTAATACATCAAAGTTTAATTATTTGTTTGTAAAAATTGCCTATGTCACCCTGTTAGTTTGGAGGGGTAAGCTGGGTCAAGTCCGTGTCAAAATTCTTTGAAGCTTTGCAGGAAAAATTATTCCTTTGTTTCTCTAGCTCCTTCTTAAACCTGGTGTCCAGGCAGAACAATTGCGCCTATACAATTGATGCAGAGGATTTGTACATACAGGTGACTTTAATAAGCAGAGGATTTTCTTTTATATTTCGTAAAAAATACACTAAATTTATATAAAATCATATCATGGTTGGCCAAAAAATTGTACGCACAGTGCATCCGTGCGTATGCCTAGTTACGCCCATACTTCCAACCATGATGTTGTGTAAATGACTTTCAAATGAAAATACACTTAGTAATACTGGTAACCCCAAACAGCCTACCCATTGTCTCATACATTTAGTGTTAATTCTTACTCTTTCACTTGGCATATGAAGAAATGAAAAACTTTGTTGAATTGAATTAAGACTTACAGAGAAAGAAAATGTTTTAAATGTGGAAAAAAATTGTTTTAGAGTCACAAGATACATTGTCAATGTCATTTTAAAATTTAAAAGACTTAACTTTATTTGACTATATTTTAGACCATATTATCAATTACCTTGACTTCATCAATCAAATCTTGTGGAATGTCTTGCTGTCCTTCTCTGTGGCGTTCCTTTAACTTTAACAACACACTGATGAAAGATGCAATAGAACCCTCAACTTGTGACAACAAATAAGACACAACATCGGGAGGACGTGAGGTTTCATCTGAAATGCCATACATCTTCTTCACTTGGTCCCATACATCACTTTGACAAAGTGTCTCATTCAGTCGTTTTTTCACACGTGGAGGAATATGTTTATGAAAAGATGTTGTCACATCGTTTTCTTTCATGTGTGTCATTGATGCCTTTTCTGAGTTATAATTGTGGTAAACCAGCTGCAAATTGAGGGTAACATTTGTGTTGCTTGTGTTAGCAGGGATCTGCCTTAGAACCCCAGCAATCTCATGTGTCACTGCCGTAGGTAATCTTTCTAACTGGTTATCCCCATGGACCGGGCTAATACCTTGGTTTCCCATTGTTTTGATGGTCTGGGGATCAGTTACACCCTGGTCTTGATCCCCAGCAGCCACAGGGTCCTGTTGTGGAGATAAAGATGGGAAGGCATGGCCTGATTTCCTCCTTGTTTGAAAGTGGGCGCCAGCTTGTTCCTCCAGGTGGTCTTCAGTGACTGATAAAGATGGGGATTCGTGAACTAAATTGTCACTTCTTTGGAAGTTGGCATCACCTTGCTGCTCCTGTTGCTGGCCAGAGACTGGCCCCTGTCTTAGGTCCTGAAATAATGATATATTGATAATAAGGAATAATAAAAACAAAACAAAACAAAAAAGAAAGATAAAATGAAAGAAGAAAAAAAACAGAAAAAATGGCAAACAAAACTGCAACGTTGTCAAACATACAGACAAAAAGCAGAAAATATTGATGTGCATAGTTCGGTGCAATATTATTTATTAGTAAGAGAAAATTAAGTGACACAGCTTTCCTTGAATATTGTTGGTGATAGAGGTGCACATATTATAGGTTCTCAATATACATGGAACCCACTGATTTCATTTGTAAAATACGATATCATCATATTGTGAAATAATGTTTTCAAGAAATCTTTAATCTTCTTAAGAGAATTCCGTACGAATACAAGTAACTCAAAGGAGCGTACATCTTCATTATCGGAAGTCTTCCATTTTTTAGTTGATGTAACACCTTTTCTTTTAGCAGGAGAGGTATTGCTGGGTGTCAACTTGATTTGTTTTGATGTTGAAGGGTTGCCATGGTGGTAACTGCTGTCATCATCATCATCATCATCATTGTCGTCATCGCTGTATTTCCTTTTCTTCTGTGTGGTCTTAACACGGGACTGGCTGGACTGGCCCAAGTAAGAAGTTTCTCTGGATGTTTTAAACAGACGCTGTAAGAAAAAAGTACAGGAGAAATAAAAAATAGTAGATTGGAATTATAAACCTAAGACAATTAGTGGTGATTAAATAAAACCAATAATTTCAATAATATACTAAATTTATCTCTTCATGTGGACATTCAGAAAATGTAGTTAGTATACATATTCATGCTGATTGCACTTCAAATTCACACCTTGAGAATGTCAAAATGTAAAAAGGGAAAAATCCACAAAAATGTTACATGGTTTTCCAACTGCAGTGTAATCTCTGAAAGCCACAGCATTGACATCAACTAAGGTGTTAAAAGACAAATAATGTCTCTATGCACAGACACGAGATGTGTCATAAAAAAAAGAGCAAAAGACAAAAAATGTCAGACTCAACCGTTTTTGTCCATTGCGAATGCATGAAACCAATTTAATTTCTCGAACGCTTTTTCCATGATGTATTTAGGCACTTCTTCCACAAAAATGAAACAGCTTGGTTTAATGTATGGGGTATACCCATATCCAATATTCCTAAAATAAGCCAATTTCTCCACTCATTAACTGATACTTTAGGATCTATTTCTATTTCTGCTAAGAACATGCAGAAGTAAAAACTGTCACATTATGAGTAGTTAAGAAATGACCCCAAAGTCCTTAGGATATTACGCGAACGATTCTTCGCTGAAGATATACCCAAAGCGGGGGAGGGGGCGGATTAAAGATAAAATGAAAATGAATATTTTTTAAAAATCCATAGTGTGTGTGTGTGTGTGTGTGTGTGGGGGGGGGGGGTTAAGTAATGATCTCCACTGACGATCTTCCGCGAACGAAGTTCCCTAAATCCCTTGAACCAAAATGAAAATTGCATTTCATTTTTGCTTACATCGCAACGATCTCCCGATGATGATATAGAAATTGCCTTTTCGTCTCGCTCGGAACGCGAACGATCTCCCTCTGACGATCTTACACGAACGATTCTCCGCTGAAGATATGCCGTGAGCGGGGGAAGGGGGGTTATAGATAAAATGAAAAATATATATTATTTACAAAATTCAAAGGGGGAGGGGGGTTAAAATAATGACCTCCTGCTGACGATCTTCCACGAATGAAGTTCCCTTGAACTAATATGAAAAGTGCATTTTATTCTCGCCTATGTCGCGAACGATCTCCCGCTGAAGATATGAAGATTGCCTTTTTGTCTCTCTCGAATCGCAAATGATATCCCGCAGATGATCTTACGTGAACGGAGTCCGCTACGAATAAGAAGATATGAAAATTGACATCTTGTCCCATTTGCATTGCGAATGATCTCCATGTACGAGCCAGGTAATCGTTAAATGGTCCTAAATAGAACATGGCCATGAATAGAAGTGACGGGTACATTTCCCTTCAAGATAATATCTTGATTTTCTCATTGCGTCTTCCTCATTTAGAACAGCCGCTGATAACAATAACGGCGTTACAAATGACAGAGGTGCGGCCTGGGACTTCTATTTGCCGGCTTGATAACGCACCTTGAGCCAGGTAATAGTAATGAAACTAAAGACAAAAGGCCAGGAATTCACATTTAAACCATCTATATTATGAGTAACCCCCTCAGGGGCGCACTATTGTTCCCATCTCCCATTGAGTGTTATCGGCAATGATATCCTGATCGTATCATTGTCTTGAATAAACGGACGCATTACCTTCATGCTTGAGCTGGACAGCGCGGCCATATTGGTGACGAACTTTTCAAAAATTATCTAGTACCTCATTTTCAAGGTCGACAAAGTTTTCAAAGGGGAAAAAATTACGTCGGCGGAAAATCGTCTGCCGACAAAATTTTCAAGACTTTACTGTAGGGTTCTTTTTTATTTGTGGATTAACGGGTGGATTGTTTGTTTGTTTACATTCTTTCTGGAGGGGGGGGGGACTGTGGCATCAAACACTTTTTTAATTCTCTTTTTTTAGCCTTAAAGATACATACAAAGTCAATTTTTTGTCATAAAAACCAACCAAATGCCAGCATACAGTTTCAAGTAGTATAACTCAGAGAATTACCAAAAGGCATTGTTTAATTTAACCGAAAGTGATGTTTGAACAGATTTTTCTGCTAGCATTCTATGCTGTATGTCAATGGGGCAGAAAAGTAGGTCACGAAAGTAGGTTAAATTTCCAACCATAAATTTAAAGAAAGGGGCACTCTAAAGCTCTTTTATGGTTGATCAGGTGATTTATTCAGTTTATCACTTGGCATGTTAATCTATTAGAGTCGTAGAAGAAACTAGTAAAGTGGTTTATATGTGTTACTGGGAATCCGCGCTCCACCGATGCTCGGTTTGTATGTACCTTTAATTAAAATTCTAAAAATTATTTATTACATTATTTTCTTTATTTTGAAAATGCTATCTTGTCTGTTTTGATTTTCAGTCATCCTTTTGGTAAGAGTGCTTGCTTTCTTGTTTGTTCCAGTGCATTATTAGTTTAAGTGGGTATAAAAATAGTTAATTAAGGTAAGACATGCAATGAACAAAGCCCAAATTTGATAGCTGGAGTGCCTAGCTTGTATGCAAATTTTTCTTTGTGTCTAATTAGTTTACACAAACAGTAAATACCACACATGCCGTTGCTGCAGGGGCCTAACAATTAAACATCAGAGCAGAGATTTAATCCATTTAAAGGCATGTGTTTAGTCAGGGAGACCATCAGGTATCAGCGGCATTGCTTTTGAACTGTGTTCAGCCATATGTACTCGGCTGATCATTAAGTACACGGATCGTCCATTGTGAATGGGGCCATTTTTCTGTCAGATGGTCAAAAATGGAAGATGGATCAATGAAGAAAATATGGACGCCGTTAGAAGATACATCTGGATCCACCCCTGCACTTATTCAATTATATAGCTTATCAAGAGACTATTCCTATTCATAAAATGTCCAAATTATAAATATTTTTATTCCAATGGTCCAAGTGACCTCCATGGATGACTACCCTTGTAATCATATCTTAAGACCAACTTTGAATATTGGAACGGATTCATTAACCAACAAGTACTGTATGGAAAAGTTGTTGTTTACCCTAGGAAAATCCATTATCTGACCAAAATGAACAGGTATTATCCTTTTAAAGAAAAAGTCAAATCCCACTGAAGTGCATTTATATGATGAGAAATCAGCATAGCAGATATTTGAACTGTTCAGATAAAACTTTATAATGCAGGGGAGGTGGAAGTAAAATTTGCTTAAACCAGGTTTAGATATNAAAAAGTCAAATCCCACTGAAGTGCATTTATATGATGAGAAATCAGCATAGCAGATATTTGAACTGTTCAGATAAAACTTTATAATGCAGGGGAGGTGGAAGTAAAATTTGCTTAAACCAGGTTTAGATATTAAGTTGAGCATTTCAAAAATGCGACTTTTATAAATTGCAAAAATAATTTAACTCTAAATTTAATAGCAATAGATACAAAATATAAGGAATGTCACACTTTTGCAAACTACTGCAATCGCTTATTTGGTATCAGGAATACCAAGCTCCTCCCCAACACCACTCCAAGACAAGCCAACCCCTAAAAAGAGTATCATATTGAAAATGTACAATGTCATGTAACTTACTGGTAACTTCCAGTGGATGTCAAACTCAGTGGATGTCAGCACTTTGATGTCCTCTTCCTGATCTTCGGATACTTCCTGCTTTATACGTATCTTGCAGACAAACACATCAGGTCCATCTGCCATTTTTGGGCTCAGGGAATATGTTACATATTCTGTTTTGTTTTTGAACAATTTCACATACTTTATAACCTAAAATGAAAAACGGGTGTTTTTTTAGACTTCTTTTATTATTGCTCACTCTCTCTCTCTCTATCATTATCTAAGAAACCCTGATATTTTCACACCAATCCACAATGATCATCATTATACATGCACTTTATCCTGAAATGTGCTTCTTATAGTGTACATATCTTTGTTGTGCAATATTGAAAGAATAAAACTCAAAAACACCAACCTTTCTAGGACAATCTTCATGCATGATCCACTTTGTCTCAAACCTGTCCAACAAAAGGCTGACATCATAGGACTCCTTTTCTTTACTCGCACTGTACTCACAAGTTAAGAATTCAAACTGCTTTTCCAGAGCTAACATCTCCATTTGGAAAGATTCCTTAGCTTTAGTTGTCACATTCTACAACATTCAAACAAATAGTATTTACCCTTCAATAGCAACACACATGCATTTTAGGGGTATCAAAAAATGATATCCACAAACAAATGCAACAGACATGATGACAAAATGATTTATTGGGTTATGTCATGCAAATAGCCAACTGAAATACAATGCACATTATTATTCAAAAGAATGAAAATTAACAAAGGAACTTAATGCAGTGACCAATTACAACTTTACCTCAGTTATTTGCAATCATCCACAGCACGGATATTATGCCAATATGTCAGGAATAGTCATAAACACTCAAAAATGAAAACCACTTATATGTTAATTCTCACCTCGACCTCATCTCGGGTGTCATTGACACAGCACACCATCAGTTTCAGCAAGGGGACATGTTGAGGCTGAAATGACCCAAACACCAAGGCAGAAAGACGCTTACTGTCACATGACAAACTGTGTTTGCAGAACTGGTTCATGGTTAAGACACATTTGGTGTTTGTCAACACAGCAGAATCACTGCTCAATACTTTCCACCGACAAGGGGCATTTAAGCGAGTTTCTGAATGCCATACGTAAAATGGATTGTCCATTCTTGAACTCTGTGTCAGATTTTCAGGACAGATCTTTCCCATCTTTCTTTGACGTGTGCCTGATATGCAGTGATAAAATGACAGGTACACTGGTTTTCTGAATGTCAGGTCATGTGGTCCGCAGACAACAACTGGACTTGCTCTAGTCTGACACGGTGGCAGCGGTGGCATGTCTTCTTCTCTCCAACTAATACCAATGAACATTTCTGTAGTTTCAGCCAGAGCTCCTGGAGGCACTAACAGGAATACTCCAACTTCCTTCAAATGAACATGTCCACCTTCTGGAGTGATGGAGAATTTCCTAAGGTAGGTATCTCTGAGAGCATCTGTCACAATCTTTCCACAACCTTGTGAGGCAGAGTGCCTGGTCTGGGGTGGTGCAGGTAATTTTAAAATTCTTTCTTCTTGTAACATACCACCATCTCTGTATCCTATAACAATGTTTTGGAAGGAAATGGCAAATTAATATAACTATATTTCTCCTGGTCATTATTTAACTATAATCTATCTGAACAAAAACCTACAGATTCAATATTAATATTTCAACTTCCTCGCTGCTATTTTCTGGGACGATTATAAAAAAATTACAATGTGAAAAAAATTAGTATTAACCACCCTCAGGGACAGCCCAACCCCCAAGTATATTGAAAATCCTAATTGCCCCTGCATATCCCTGATGTTAGGA